TGCTGATTTGGCGATAAAGAAAAGTTGTAGTGTGCGGGCTCCAGTCTCATCAGTGTGGGCAGCAACTGTGATCATTCTGACTTTTTTTCTATACAAGTGTGGCATACTTTCTTTGTATGTGATTGTTTCTCTTGGTCACATCTAGGTTTGCGCAGTTTTCCCAGTGTTGCGGAGGTGCTCGCTAGTAAGATTTCCCAGAGAAAGCCTTAGTGACTGATTCTAATTTTGTTGTGAGGGTTTGAGCAGCAATTTCCTTCTCTTTGCTCAGATGCTCTCCAGAGGGTCTCCATGGCTTTGTTCCACCTTTCACTTGCTGGGATATATCCTGTCCAGCCCATCTTTTCTTCCAGGATGAGCCCACTAACTAGAGCTCCAAGTTATCTTTCATCTGTAAACCACTCCCAAATGCGGTGCACTGCCCACAATCAGTGAAGCAAGATTTGCGAAGTCTGAGTACAGAATTTTTCTGATTTCACACAACCTCCTCACAAGTCTTTTAGGGTTTTCTTATCCACACCTAATTTAACACCAGATTTAAAGAGATTTGTCTTTATCACACCTTTCCAGAGCATTCAATTTAGTTTTCATAGAAACAGCTATTTTCACGCTGTTGCTTCATGATATTAAATTAAATTATGTTGTTACGGTGAAACTTATAACGGGCATTACCAAGTGTACAGCATAACCAGGTTCAGCATAAAGGTCAGAAGGCAAAAGTGCAGGAAGTACTCACCTCTTGAGGATGGCCTGTGCGCATCAAGCTGTTTCCCCAGCCTGGGCATTCGGCATCCTAGGAGCCAGGCGCAGGTTATGCAGCGGGAGTGTAGAGCATTGCTGCATGGGTCCTTAAAGTGGCTGGCGGTGGGAGGACTTATACTCTACTTTTTATTTGTGGCATGTGGTGGTTTTCCATTTACATAGTGACATGAAATTGCATTTTAAAACAAATATATTTAAGTAAGAACATGAATTCTTTTAAGGAAAATAAATGAACAAAGAATAGCGCAGGTGGCACACAAATTTGACAAAGCTTGTGAACAGGATGTGGGACAATTGGTCTATGTACTGGTCAACCCTGAGAGAGGAGGATGAGGGGAGGGAGCAGAGCAACGTTGATGTCTTGTCATTCACTCTCAGTGCCCAGGCTGACACTGGCTCCATCCTCTGGTCTTGTGTTTTGAAAGACCAGTGATGCCATCTTCTGAGTTGGTGTCCCTGGGGAAGGGATGTTAGAAGACGTCCTGGGGATCCCAGCACCGTGGGAAGGGCAGGGCTCTGGAACAGAGTGCTGAGCTCTGGATTCCTCCTTACTTCTGCCACGTGCTTCACATGTGACCCTTTAGTAGTCATTTGCCCTTTCTGTGCCTCAGTTTCCTCATCTCTAAAATGATGATATAATCCCTGACATCACTGCTGTGAGGATTAAATAGAGTCATGTAAAAGCACCTGGCCAAGTGCTGTGTGCATGGTGGGAGCTTCACCAATATTTGGAGAATGAATATATGACCCTGAATATGGGAATGATGACAGCAGTTCTTCCTGCCACAGAGTGTTGTTAAAGATTCAATACATTTATGTCTGCAATTTGAAAGTGATAGCAAATTATTTTAATATTGGGTACTATAATTATAGCTATCATTCTTTCATTGGTTTGAGAACTAAAATTACATATATATAAGTCTATATCAGATTAACAAAACCCTTGAGAGGGCTGTTCCCTGATCTTTGAAGATCAGCTACTTTCCAAATTCTCATATGGATTTGAGAAGAGACACATGCCCTTGCCTCTAACCCAGGCTGATGGAGGATTGTTCCCATGATAGTCTCAAGTGGAAAGTAAACTCAGAGTTGGCTTTAAATCACAGCCCCACCACTCATTAGCCTGTGGCCTGGAACAAGCTACCAAAGCTGGCCAAGCTTTTAGGATGCTCTTCTATGAAATAAGGGGAGGAAGAAGAACACCATTTTACAGGAATGTGATGAGGAGATGGGGAATGGAAAGCTCCTAGCACAATTGCTTGTACTGTTGGTGCTTGGTAAAGGGTCCTGTCCCCTTCTGTCACTCCCACTGGGTTGCATGCTAAACTATATACAGAGAAGCCCTTAGAGCAGGCCTCAGTGTCAGGGGAAGGTAAGGGTGGCTCTTCCTGGAGGAAACAAACTTGAGAACTAGAAGTACTACAGAAATGTCTTCTGAAAATACTTTGGGTAAACAAACAGTTGGAAGTGGTTCAACATTGTATGGCTTATTTATTAAGGAAATGGAAATTAAAATGAAGCATATATTAAAAATAATTTTAAAAAGACTATTTTGTTATATGTACAGTGAAATAGGCATCTTAGATGTTCATTGTGGTGGTGGAAAAGGTAGAAAACCTTTCAATCTATTTTGTTTATAATTGAGATATAATTCATATACCAGGAAATTCATACTTTCAATATGAAAAGAATTGTACAACCAGCATCACTAATCCAGAACATTTTCATTACACCAACAGGAAACCATATTCATTAAGCCTTTTGCTCCTCCTTCTCTGTGCCCCACCAGTCTGGGAACTACTAATCTGCTTTCTGTCTTTATGGACTTACCTATTCTGATATTTTATATAAATGGAATTACACAATATGTGACCTTTTGTATCTGACTTCTTTCACCTAGCAAAATGTTTTTGTGGTTCATTCACATTGAAGTAAGTATTGAATGCTTCATGTCTTTTTATGTCTGAATAATATTCTGTTGTGTATATATACACACCACAGTTTGTGTATCCATTCATCTATTGATGGACATTTGAGATGTTTCTACTTTTTGGCTATTGTGAATAGTGCTACAGTGGACATGCATGGATATATATTTATTTGAGTATCTGTTTTCTGTTGTTTTTGGATATATATCTAGGAGTGGAATTGCTGGGTCATGTGGTGATTCCATGTTTCCCTTCATTTTTTTGTAACATACTTTTTACTGCATATAAAATTCTTGGTTGACAGATTTTTTCTTTTTTTCTTTATTTTTAACTTTCACTTATTTGAATATATTATCCTGATACCTTCTGGTTTCCATGATTTCTTCTGAGACACCAGCTGCTAATATTATTATGGATTCCTTGTACATGATGAAGTCACTTCTTTCTTGATAGCTTCAAGATTCTCTTTGTCTTTAGCCTTCAACAGTTAGATTGTAATGTGCCAGGTCCGGGTGTCTTTGAGTTTATCCTACTTAGAGTTTATTGAGATTCTTGAAAGTGTAGATTAATATTTTTCACAAAATGTGGGAAGTTTTTGGCTATTAAGCATCACAGCTTCCATCAGGCTGCTGTGTTGTTAAACAGTTACCTCTGATTATTTTCAACAAATTCCCCCAGGGAAAACACTATTTGTACTGAGCAAGGTCCAAGACAGGTCAAATAAAGATAGCATTGTGAGTAGGGCCTTCCAGGGAACCACCAGACAGGAAAATAATTATGGTTCTTTGGGAGAAGGGCTTTGAAGGAACTTAAACCCTTTCTGCCCCTTTCAGTGCCTGGAAGGCTCCTGGTTTTCACTAGTATTGCAAGTGTTGGTTTTCAAGACTGCTGCAGAGTTGGGGAGAGGTAGATAGGAAGAAGGCAAGTTAAAACATCAAAAGCTCACACCTGGTCTTATTGAGACTCTTCTTGAATAAACACTCCACAGTTTGCTCAAGCCAAGTTCTGAATAAGTTGATTCTGATCATTTTTGCCAGTGTTCTTTGCTTCCATGGAAGAGGGCTTTTCAGATGTCCTTGCTGTATCATTTCGCTGATCTTTCAGTGAAATACCCCATGAATTTGTCCCAAAGCCAAGGCAAAAAAATTTACACCCCATGAATTTATCCCTAAGTCAAGGCAAAAAAAAAAAAAAATCATTCATGTCCGCTAACATGTTTATCACAGTATAATTTATAATAGTGAAAATTTTGAAATATCACAAATAAGTTATGGGAGAAAGCATGTACAATTTTGGATCATGCCATTGTGCAGGTGTCAACAATGAAAGAACAGGTCAGGCAGGGAAAAGTGTGACAAAGAGGCTGAGAGCCCTAGCTTCAGACTCAGATGGGGTAGGTTCAAATTTGGCTCTGAGGTTTATAGCCAACAACTTGGAGCAAATCAATTAGATTCTCTAAGCCTCATTTTCTCATCTATAAGATGGTGGCAGTTCCATCATGTGTTGTAGATGCTTTCATTTAAACCTCATATTATAGGCATGGCTCAGCCATGTAAGTTGTTATTGTTGCTCTCATTCAACAGAAAGTTCTTTGTGATATAATGGTAAATAAACTAACAGGATATGAAATTGTGTGCATACTATAACCAAAATATAAATAAAAGAATCCCTTGGCAAAGCATGGAAAAACCATGGTTGGCAGAAAATATACCACAATGATGGGATTTGGGGTTATTTACTTTCTTTTTCCTTCTGTTTTTTTCCCCTTACAGCGTTCCTTTTTTAAAAAAATAAAAAAGATAAATGTCCGCGCAGAATAAGTATGTCTTCTTAAAGATGCAGGGGCTTTCTCAGTAGAGCTTAGGCAAGAATCAGAGTTTAGGCACCACATCAGAAACTGGGATTGTAGAAATGTGCTTCCAGGTACGTCTGCAGGGACTTTTTGGTCACCATTATTTCTTGCATCTCTTCCGAAGCCTGGGATGTATTTATTGGTCTTCTTCAAGGAATTCTTTTATTCAGAATCCTAGGGGCCAGGATCACTGCTGCCTCCTTAGGGAGGGATCTGAAAGTGGAGCTTAGTATCAAGAGAGTGCTTTAAAATTCTGATGTCTAATGCAGGGCATTTCCCTTTGGGGCCTCCATTGCATCATCTGCCACATGCGAGAACAGCGGTGCTATCTTCTAGGCTCAGTTGATGGGGGGAGGAGAGGATGCTCTTCACACTTGGTACTGTGCCAGGTGCTGCTTGGACATGCTTTGTGTCCATGTTGCTGATCTCTGTACTGTGATGTGACTGATTTTTCATTTCAGGTTTCGAGGTGCACCGATTATACCCGTGGCAGCCAAGCCAGGGGGACCAGAGGCCCCTGAAACTGAAGCTCCACAGGGCATTCCAGAACTCATTGAGGTATTGTCAGCTTGAAATCAGGTTGTCCTTTAGCCCCAGCCATGCTCAGGCAGGCCCCTTTGTGTCCCCCACTCCCCTGGGAAAGAAAGAGAGGCAGCCCTAGCAAGAGGACTTGGTTGGTACCATTAATCTCTCTGCTCACACCTTAGCACAACTCCCCCACCTCCCTCAAACTAGGGTTCCTAAGGTTCACCGAAGCCCGACTCACTCTCCAGCCAGAGAGTCTGCAGAGCTCGTCACACCTTGCTATGCCTCGCTTTTTCCTTTCTCTTGTCATACCTCCACTGAGACAAAGCAGCTCCCACCCATCTGGAACCCTGGCACCGTGGCATCCATTCCAGTCCTTCAGACTGTATCAGCCCCTCCAGTACCCCACCTGGGCTGGGGGCCAGCAAGGCAGGGGTGAAGGACGTGGGCCCAGGAGCAGGGGCAACACAGCTTCCATCCTGGATGCCTCCACCAAAGATGGGAGGCTTATTTTTGGAAGCTGTGGGGCTGAGGCCCAGATTGTTCTTCCAACTTGTGCTGGCGGTCAGGGAGGGAGCCCAGTCATCCATCAGGAAGGGTGTGTGGGGGTGCTGGTGGTGCTGTCACTAAGGAAGTTAGCACTGAGAATAGGGCCACAGAGTTCCTCCAGAGTGCTCAGGACAGCTCAGAGGGGTGGAGTGGCAACATGCATGGCTCTGGGGCTGGACTGCGGTTCTAGTGCTGGCTCCACCACCACTCTCTCTGACTGCAGGCAAATGATCTACTCTGTCTTGCCTCAATTCCCTCACTTGGAAGATCATAGCACATACTTCATGGAGTTGTTATGAGGGTTAAATGAGTTAATATGTATAATGTGCTTGGAACAGTGCCATGTCAGTGCTTACTATTACAGTGATATTGTTGTCTACAGGCCAGGCACTGTACTAAGTTCTTTGCATACAGGATTATTGACCTTCACAAAAACTCAGGAGTCTGAAATTATTTATCCCCATCTACCAAGGAAGAGTCTGAGGTTCAAAGAGATTCAATAACTTGACCCAAGTCTCACAGCAAGTACATAGTGGAGCTAGGATTCAAACCCAGGTCAATTGTTGGGGTCAGCTTTGCAGTCCACCTATACCTGGCTCTGCAGAGCCAAGATGAGGTGTAACCATGTACATGCATTGCCACCATTTCTGTGAGTTACACGTGCTGACCTTGTCAGCTTAGCAAAACAAATGTTTGCTGGGTGAGGCTTTTACTTTTTCATCAGGCTCCTGAGAGCACTTGTCTGGGAGCCTGGGGCATTTGTTTTTGTTAAAGCAAAATCTACAAAAATGCTGCTATGAAAGATGTTTGTATATTCCTTTAAGAAGCCTCTGCATAAATCAGACCAATCCTGTTTGGAATCTCTAGTCTTTTTCCAAAAGAATTGTTATCACAAGATTAAGACTTTGGAACATTCACCACTGAATACTTTTTTGACAGCCAAGTCTTCCGTTATGAAATGAAAAAGTAGCAAACACAAGGAATCCTCGTCTTTGTTTTCATTTGTTTATGGTGATGAGCCCTGACAGCATCTCCTGGCACACAGGTGGCATGAGGAGAATCAGCTGGTGAGGCTGAGGCATGCGGAGTCTGCAGAGAAGTAAGGCAAGAGCCTCAGGCTGTGTGGGGTGGTGCTGGCCTTTGGCAGACAGGAGACCCAAGCTCGGCCTCTGCTGGGACTTGGAGAAATGGCAGGGGGTTGCCCTGGCAGAGAAGAAAGGCTCTGCATCACTCTTCACACCTCTTGTCCTGGGACCCACACAGCTGGCCTGCCCATACCAACACAGGCAGTTGCCCCTGGAAACAACCCTTTCCTCCTCCCTTTCCCTATATCCCCTTTGTTTCTTCTTTCACTTGTCATTCTCATAGGCACGGTGCCAGCTACTGGAGATACCTAGCCCTCACAACCCTATGGGGGAGACAATAGAGAGATCACAGTAGAGTGTTAGCTGTGGTGATGGGGGCAGGGAAAATGTGACCATACAGAGAAGCCTGTCCAGAGTAGGTATTGCTGGCGAGGACAGGTGAGGCTGAGCCAGCTGGTAAAACTTTAGGCCTGCCAGCGGCTGGCTTTTGACATAAGTCAGGGAGTGGTGGAAGATGAGGCCTTAAAGTTACCTAGGGGCTAGGTGATGAAGAGTCTTAAATTCTGAAGGCATCAGGAGGCTGGGGAAATGCATGAGGCCAGGGAGCAATAGGACAGGGTGTCCTTTAGTGGCTACTCTGCTGCAGCATGGAGGGCCTGGCAGGACAGATCACTGTAGTTGTCCCACAGGAGAGGACAGAAGAGGCTTCTCCAGGTGTCTTTTTTTCAGACTGAGCGGAAATTGCTGAGAGCATGTCAGAAGCTTGGAATGCAGCCAGGGAGTTGGTGGTTTTGATCTCCAGGCCACCTTTCCAGGGCATGGGCCTCTAAGCTGAATCCACCTTGGCAGCCTTGATGAACTGCTGGTCAGCCACACCCTCTGCCTTCCTCTGCCCTGCCCCATCTGGCTCTTCACCCCACAGACTGTGGCACCAGTTTCTCTTTTCTAGCTCCTGACGTCCCAGATTTCCATCCCAACGAGAGACCCCTCGGGACCGTTCCTCATGTCTGTGGACCACTGTTTCTCCATCAAAGGCCAAGGCACTGTGATGACAGGGACCATCCTCTCAGGCTCCATCAGCCTCGGTGATAGTGTGGAGATTCCTGCCCTCAAGGTCAGTCTTTCCTTGTCCTCCCTTCTGGCCTCCTCCCTGGCAGCAAGGGAGGGGGGCCATCCCTTTGCCTGTTCAGCTGCTGAGCCTGCTGTGCCTCTCCTGTTACTCGCAATACCTGCTCCACCCCATCTCCCCTCCTGTGCTCCCACCCTCTGGCTGCCTGGCCCCACCTGGCTCCAAGTCTCTCACCTCTGATTCTAGGACTGCTGCTCTCCCTAATTCTCATAACACCTGTTTATTGAAGGCCTATGATGTGCCACAAGAAGGTGTTCCCAAGTAGGTGGTCTGTGTACATAAAGAAACTGAGGCTCCAGAAGGTGAGGTGGGCTTGAGATCACATGGTCAACAAGTGCGGCTGCTGGAGGGCAAACTTCCCTTTCTGCCCCAAAGCTGTGTGTCAGAGTGGCAAGTATGTGTGGAGTTATTCCTGGGTACCTTTTTCTTAACCACAATAATTTCAAATTAAGCACGATGTGAATCTTGTGTTGCTCAGAGTCATAGAATCTGGAAGAAATCCAGGTCAGTTTTGCACTCCTGATGGCCATCGGCAAATGCTGCGCTATCCTCCTGAAGACCTGTGAGGAGGATGAGTGGCAGATGCCTCCCCGTCACCCTTCCTTCTACAATGGCTTGGCTCTGATTTAAAATGTGTCTAGTGCCTTGATATTCCCCTTATTCAGAAGGCATTTTTAATAGCTTTACTTTATGGGACAAGAGTAACTTACAGCGTCTCTGACTGCCCTCCCCTTCAACAAGAATAAAGGTGGGGAACACAGGCTAGTTAGAACTCCTGTGAGACCTTGCCAGGAATGCTGGGATCCGGGGCAGTTCTCTAATCCTTAAAGAGCCTGCAGTGCAGGGAAGTCGAGGGGCTCAGCCCTGTGGACTCAGCTAGCTGCTAGAGAGGCTTGAATGTGCATGATTTCAGTTTGCATGCTAACTGGGAATGGCTACCTGGAGGCTGTGTTGAGGCATTTTAAGGTTATCTGGCTCACTAGGTGTATTGGTTAGGGTGCTCCAGAGAAACAAAGCCAGTGGGAGATACCGATATCTAGGTATCTGTAGATACACAGGTAAAGATACATAGATGTAAATATTTAGATATCTGTATCTCGTATTGATTTTGTTTTGCTGGAGAACACCAACTAATGCACCCAATATTTGATGCAGATAGATAAATAGATATGTGTTTTAAGGAATTGGCTTATACTATTATAAAACCTGGCAAGTCCAAAATCTACAGGGTAGACTGGCAGAATTGAGGCCTAGGGAAGAATTACAGCTTGAAGGCCATTTGCTGGCAGAATCTCCTCTTCTCTGGGGAGGTTAATCCTTTTGCTCTTAAGGCCTTCAACCAATTGGATGAAGCCCACCTACATTATGGGGGTCATCTGCTTTACTCAACACCCACCAATTTAACTGTTAATCTCATCTAAAAACACTTTCATAGAAACACCAGGAATAAAATTGGAACACTGTGGCCCAGCTAAATTGACACAATGAACCATGTCACTCACTGGGTGAGAGGACCACGATAGCAGCACCTAGCCTGAGTACGGGAAGTAGAGAGGGGCCCTGCTGGCACCCATGCTTTGTGTATGCCCTCCCTGGTCCAGAGCAGCATGGTTGGGTATAGAGAAGGGGCATTTCATGGAAGGCAGGCATGAACAGTGTTCCCCCAAGTGAAGGCAACTTCAGGTTTCAACCCCCAGCTCATTTTACAGCAGTGTGGCTCCTACTTCCTCCTACAGGGGCTGGGGGTATTAAGGAAGAGTCTCCTAACCAGAAAGGACCAAACAAAAGATAGGACTCAACTCTGGCCAGGTTCCAGGGCTCCTTGGATCAAGTGGGGGGAGTCAGAAGGCAGGGCCACACCATATCTAAGGAGCCCTGGAATCTAGCCAGAGCTGGACACTGTGAGTCAGAGTTCCCTCCTCTACCTACTGTCATAGCCTCCTCTGAAGACCATTGGTCCCAGAAAAAGACTACTTGAATAAAATCTAGTTTAAGCCAGGGACTGAAAATGCAAATCTTAAAAAATAAAGCAAAAAATTATAAAAGTAGACTTAGTTTATATTTACTGAAATGAAGATTACTTTTGTGACTGTTTGCAGATTCTTCGCTAGAACAGAAAATGAATCAGTACTAAATTTCTTTCCAGTCTCTGTGCCCTCTAAGTCAGACCTCTGGCGGCCACCCTGACCTGGTATCCCTTCTACTCTGGGAGAAGACGTGCTTGCAGCTTGGGAGAGGAGCTGGGAGTATGAAAGAGGTGTCAGAAGAGGGCTCCTGGGAAGTGGGGTAGACTGAATTGTGGGTACCTGAGATTCTAGAGGGAGAAAAAGGTTTTTGATAAGAGTCAGTGGCTGCAATGTTACGGCCAAGGGCATGGAGAAGGGCTGACGCAGAGCTAGTCAGCAGTGGTAAGGAGGCAGGAATGTTCAAGTGGGGTCCTGTTCTAAGCTATTTGGCCACCCTCTTTGTCCTTATAAAGGTAGAACTTGCCTATCAGGATGCCAGTTACTGATCTTCAGTACTTGGGCAAATGGCAGGTACTTGGCAGATATAAATTTAATTCTCCTTTTGCTTTTGTGCACCTGTTTTTCCCCACCTACTTTTTAACACTTTTGGTGTCTACTGCCTGATTTAATTTACTAGTCAGGAAAAGCAGAACTTGTAAGCAATGTACTCAGACATTTGATTAAGGAGATTTCTAAGCAAAGCATGGAAGATGCTACCTTGTTTCTCCATTGATGTTTATAGTAAAACATGAGGAGAAATGAATCAATTGAGGAAGAAACTGTTAGCATACAGGAATAAGCACTTGATGATTTGGGAGATTCTTGGTCCATCTGGATTGCAAAGGATGTTCAGGTTAGGAAATTCACTGCTAAGAAAGCATGTCTTGGAGAGAAGGCCAAAGGTGAGCCTGGACAACCTTCTGCGGAAGAGAGGAGGTGTGTGACACACAGATCCAATCAAGCAAGTTAGCGGCAGCCAGAAATAGAGACAGACTTCTATAGAAAGGATATGCGGAGAGCCCTCTTGGCTAATGGCATGGACCCCTTGATGTATATAAGAGGCCTTCAAGGATTTTGAGAATCTTATACCAGCAAGAACACTGGACTGAAAGGGACAGAGACTTGACAAATGAATAAAAAGCTGTCAGACTTCTGGGATTCTACAGGCAAGAAACACACTGATAGAACAACTCAGCTACAAACACATATTATCCTTCAAAAACTAAAAAAGAAAGAATGGCTCTGAGGGCAGGGCCATACACAGAAGCAGAGGCTAATGGAGTGGCCACAGAAGGCCAGTCTCAGATACTGAAACCTCATGGAATTTGTCCTGCTGTGTTTTAAACTTGCTTGGGATTAATGACCCTTGTAGTTTTTCCACCATCTCCCTTTTGGAATGTTGGAAGTAGGTAACTTGTTTTCTAGGTTGACAGATGGAGAGGCATTTTGCCCCAGGATAAACCATATCTAGAGTCTCACTCCTACCTGATTAGGTGACTTACATGATGAGATCAGGAACTTTTGAGCTGATGATAATTTAGATGAGATTTTGGACTTAATGATTTAATGGGCTGAGAGTTTGGGGGACGTTGGAAGAGGTGAATGTATTTTGCATGTGGGATGGATGTAAATTTTGGGTACCAGAGGGTAGACTACAGTGGGTTACATTGTAGTCCCCAAAAATATGTCTACCCAGAACCTCAGAATATGACCTTTTTGGAAGAAGGGTCTTGCAGATGTAATCAAGGTAAGGCTCTTAAGAAGAGATCATCCTAGAATAGGGTGGGCCGTAAGTCCAATGACCAGTGTCCTTATAAGAGACAGACAAGGAGAAGACATGGAGAGTCATAGAGAGAAATCTATGTAAAGACCAAGGCAGAGATTAGAGCTGTGTTGTTCTAAGCCAAGGAGTGCCCATGGTTGCTGGCAGCTCCCAGAAGCCAGGAGAGAAGCATGGAGATGAGTCTGCCTCGGTGCCTCCATGGGAACCAGCCCTGCTGACATGTTGATTTGGACTTCTGGCCTCCAGAACTGTGAGAGAAGAAATATTTTGTTGTTTTATGATATCAAATTTGTGGTAATTTGTTATGGCAGCCCTAGGAAATGTACAAATTTTGCATGGAAAGGACAGAAATCAGAAAAAGACTTAAGTCCTTTCTGATCCTGGCCAGTCCCTTAACTCTGAGCTTTGGCTTCCTTGCAGGGAATCAATACTCCTGCTCACCATCTTGGGCTACTGGGGGTGACATGACAGAACTGTGGCATACTGATGGTCAGCGCTGCCCATTCCTTTCTTTCCTAGCATGCCCATCTCACAAGTGAAAGAACCTAGACCCAGGACCTTAAGCAACTGGACAGCAGAGCTGGGACTTGAAGTCATTCATCCAGCTCTAAAGACCCAGCCCTGGCCTTGTGCCCTGATGCCACAGGAGTCCCAGAGGAGACGCCTGGGCTGGTAGTGGTGCCTCTGCTTCAGGGCAGGGCCTGCAGTCCCCATGGCAGCTCTGTGACCATGCTGCTGTGCTCTGCTGAGGCCTTGCCTGGGCTTTGGCATGTATGAAAGCCCATTTCAGCAGAGCCTGAGGTCCAGAACTCCTGACCTCCTCTCACCCCTGCCCTCTACCAGCCGTGATTGGTGGTCAGTGCCTATTGGGCATGGGGATATGGCGGGCCATAGCCCTTTTTCCAAACACAGTGACATCCCTGTCAGATTTCACTAATAGACTTGGACACATCTGACCGCTTGAACTCCCTTGGAGGCGGGACACAGCCATTCCAAATAAACAGTCACATTCCCCTCCCGGCCTGGGCTGGCCTGCGGAGCCTGCCATACCCTGGCCCCCATTTCTGTTGCCCAGGTCTGTTCCCAGCTGGGGCCAATTAGCTGAGCAAGAAAATGTTGGGGAACAGGGAGTGAAGGAGAAAAAAAAATTCCTTTTAGCCCCTAGAACAGTTTAAAGGCCTGAGAGTCACCAGCTT